GTAACGTTGTGATGTTGGTCTTTTATTATTTATAAAATTTTCAAATGATGATTTTAATTTATCATCATCTTCGTCACTAGTGCACGAGGTTTCCATATTTTTTTGATCAGCTTGTTGCGAGTTACATTGACTATTTTTTTCTATGCGTGTACTCAATGGATCAATTATTGGTTTAAATGCTTCACGGAAATAGTTTTCAGAATCTATAACACCACGTTTCATTTCCATTATTTTTCGTTTAATATTTTTTTTTGATGTTATTAAATTGTTCAACAAGGCTTTTTCTTTGTTCATTGTAAATAAAAAGTGAAATATAACTGTATCGTATGACTACTGGTAACACTATGAAAATAATAACTGTGTTACGGTATATATATATATATATATATATATATATAGTATTTTATTAAAATAATATTAAGGATACATTTTTATATGGTTCTCTATTAAATGGTTTATAATATCAGAAAATTAATAATTAACAACAACTAATTTCAGTACAATCTTATACACGTATGTTGAAATAATACAATGCTATTTTATTTTATTTTAATAAACGTATGAAAACCATATCTATATCTCCCTTCATTCATTTCCCGAGTTTTGTCAATAACCATAAAACCATAATCACAGTGATTCCAACATAAATGAGAAATTTTCCGAAATTCTGAGAAATCCATATCTGCAGACGAATGATCGTTGAATATATGTCGTAAATTTGTATCATCTTGTTTCAGTATCATTAAAAAGTTTGCGTTATCTCTTATTAACTGTTTCGGTATTTTAGAATATGTTTGTGCTAAATAAAATACAGAACTAGCACCTGAATGTCTACCGATGCTAAAGTATTCTCTGATTACAGATTGCGGACCACATATCACATCATCAAAAATTATAATAGAATTTTTCTTAGTCAAGTTTGGTTTTATAACTTTTTCAGCACTTGTAAATATGAAAAAATTAGCACCTTGTATATCATCTATTATTTTTTTTAATAAAACATATTTTTCCTGATTAGAAGTCTTAGAGTATAAATAAATATTTTCAAATCTTAACCCATTTTCATGTGTGATCAGATTATACATTATATTTGTTTTTCCCGAACCGCTGGGACCAACTAGTATGGCACGTATAGTATCGGGTAATAACGAACCGTGTCTTGACAGTTTTTTTACTATCTGAGCATCTACATTTATAACATCTAATTTATCTTTCTGTTCAATCAAATCCATTTTTCTTATAAATACTCTATAATTTTCAATTTACAATCAGTTATAGATAACGCGTTCAACTCGTAAGTATAAATCAGTCAAGACTGATAAAGCATTTTATAAACTTCCCTATAAATACTAATGAAAGGTAAAAGAAAAATAGATATGGGTTGTAAAAGTAAACGGAAACGTACCATAAAAAGAAATGGTATACTAGCAGCGAAGAAAAGAAGAACGTTAAAGAAAAAGAATGGTGGAAAGAGACTGATTTTAACACCAGGACAGTCAGGAGGTGTAATTCCCTTAGTACCTATATTTGCAGGATTGTCAGCACTTGGTAGTTTGATGTCTGGAGGTGCTAGTGTGTATAATGCGGTTCAAAATTCAAAAAGAAAAAAAGGCAATGGTTTGAAATCAAACAAGAATAGGTTGAGAATAAAAAACTGATGATCACGCTACCTGACAGACCGCTTTCGTCCCAAGATATTATAAAATATGTTGAAAAGTTTAAAATCAATCATTTCCGTGGAGTCTTTTCACGTGATAACTTACCTAAACAACCGCATACGATTGAATGTGGTATATTAAACTTAGATATATCTTCAGGCGACGGAAGTCATTGGGTAGCGTTTTATAAAAATAAGGACAAAGTTGTATATTTTGATAGTTTTGGTGATTTACCACCACCAATTGAATTACAACATTATTTCAGACAGTTCAAAATAGTATACAACTATTCTAACTATCAAGATTTCAATACGTTCAACTGTGGGCATTTATGTCTTGAATTTTTACAATGCATGAATCTATTACATTAAGTTTGACTGGAAATTCAACTGTATTATCTGTAAATTATTTTCCACCTATAAACCTTTACGATGACTCAGAAATAGCTTTGTTATGTTTACAGTCATTTAATTCATTCCCAAATATTAATGAAAATAATAATAAATTTTCTATACAAGTAGTTGATAATGAAAACAATAATAATCCTATGATATGTTTTATTACATTGGAAGAGGGTTGTTATGAAATTGAAGATATTAAGGATCGAGTTAAGAAGCAAATAGTTGCCTATAATAGTAAAAACTTAACCAATTTAACATTCGACATTACGGTTGATCCTGATGATTTCAGATCGTATATAAAATGTAATGGGATACTACACTTTGAATATCCATTTAGTATAGCACCTGTATTCGGTTTTGAAAAACGAGTATATAATCCATACAACATTCTTCGATCGGAAAAAGCTGTAAATTTAAACACAATTAATTCTATAAAAGTAATGTGTAATATAGCTCAAGGATCATTCAGCAACCATCTTCAGAGTCATTCGATTTATGAGTTTTTCCCGAGTGGAAAGACAGGGTCGAAAGTAATTCAGGCACCGCCAAATTTAATATATTACAAATTGAATAAAACAAATATTGATTCGATAACCGTTCAGTTAGTTGATCAAGATCATAATCCGATTGATAATTTTGGTGAGGCATTGACAATCGTGTTACATATTAAACGTTACGGGTCTTGAGATGGGGTTGAAATTCAATATAAACCCGCTACTTCGGATCAGCACAACTAGTCATAAGACTAAAGTGCTATCAGCAACATCAAATAAAGTAAAAAAATTAACGGTACAGAATAAAAAAAATTTACAAGCTTTGGGTTATCAATTAAAGCAGAATGCCTGAAAGTGATATTTTAGACATAACGTCACAGTACGAAACGGATTCTAAAATTACGAAAATTGAATATCATTCATACACACCGTATACTACATCATTTAATAATAATGATGAAATACGTATATCAATCCAGCAAACTGATGTCTACCCATATCTACACGAAAGCTTTATTTTTTTGGAAGGAACAATTACTGATGCTACCAAAGTGAAACTATCTAATAACGGTTACTCTTTCCTCTTCGAACAAATACGATTGGAAATCAATGGGATAGAAGTAGATAGCACACGTGTTCTTGGAATCACTAGCTCGTTGAAAGGTTACTTATCCTGTACACCAGACAACTATAATTGTTATGAAAATTCTGGTTGGAATTTTAAAAACGCAACGCAATCGGAAAATGAGAAAGGTGAATTTAGTGCTTGCATTCCATTGAAATATTGGTTAGGTTTGTTTGAAGACTATAAAAGAATATTGGTGAATTCTAGATTAGAATTAATATTAACTCGAAGTCATAGCGATTTAAATGCTTTAAGTTGTAAAACTGGTGCAACTGTTACTGAAGGTAAAGTCGTTTTAAACAAAATAGTCTGGAAGGTCCCACATATCAATGTTGACGATGAAGAAAGGTTAAAATTATTGAAACTTATAGAAAAAGAAAAAAGTCTATTTATCCCTTTTAGATCTTTTGAAACTTTTGAATATCCTGAACTCGGAACCACTAAAAAAGTTGTATGGAATTTGAAAACTGCTTCAAAATTAGAAAAACCACGATTTATCATAATTGGATTACAAAAAGGACGCAAAAATGTGTTAACGAAAGATTGTAGTATATTTGACCATTGTAATTTAACAAACGTTAAAGTATTTCTGAACTCTATAGCTTATCCATACGATAATTTGAATTTAGATTTTACTAAAAATAATTTCACCTTATTATATAATATGTATACATCGTTTCAAGAATCGTACTATGAAAAAAGTATTCGTAACCCGATATTGAGTCCTTCTACTTTTCTGACAAACGCTCCAATTATAGTCATCGATACTTCGAAACAGAACGATTCAGCCACAGCCTCAGCAGTGGATGTTCAATTGGAAATTGAAGCTTCAGATTCCCTTACAGGTGTAACTGCTTATTGTTTATTAATTCATGATCGTATTGTAGAATATGTACCTTTTACTAGAGAAGTAAGAAAATTAGTGTAAATAATAAATCAAAATTGTATATATTTAATATTTGCTGTAAAATACTATTAACTGATTAAAAAATAAATATATAATGATAAGAAAAAAAAAAATGTTTTTATTTATTTCAGAAAATTATATTAAAAACTGTTTTGAATTTTCTCTAGAAAATGTTAGGGAGATTGGTTACACTGTAAGGCATACATTCCTACTTGAAATTTTTTCCCTGTAAAATTTAACTCAGTACCGTCAACCATACTTTTTAGAATTTTTACCTATACGGTGATCGAATGTGCTGCAAGGAGGACTTTCCTACTTGAACTTTTTTCATCTCCCTGTAAAATTTAACTCAGAAGCCCCAACCCACCTTTTTAGAATTTTTACCTATACGGTGATCGAATGTGCTGCAAGGAGGACTTTCCTCCTTGAACTTTTTTTTTTTCCCTGTAAAATTTAACTCAGAAGCCCCAACCCACCTTTTTAGAATTTTTACCTATACGGTGATCGAATGTGCTGCAAGGGGGACTTTCCCCCTTGAACTTTTTTTTTTCCCTGTAAAATTTAACTCAGAAGCCCCAAATTAATACTACTCCCGTCCGTTACTAGACTGTTCACTATCGTGCGTAATAAATACTTTAGTAACACGATGAAAATACGGTTTAATCGTGTGGTTTCGGCCATAGTTGCTATCGTTTTCGTTGTTACTTCGGCGAACGCTACAAATTCCCCTCAGAATCCGGTGCCAAGGAATCAGTCGAGTCCGGCCAAACCCACTGCGAGAAGGTCGTCAATAAAATACATTATCCTGTATCTCATATTGTGGCCCAAGACCAAAAGTCCGCGAACGTCACCAATGCAAAGACCATTCTGGTTACGGCTACGAGGAGTACCACTAAGGTAAAGTCCGTAAACACCATGGCCACTATCAAGGTAGTCGTTCCAGGCAAAAATAACAAGGCGACATCGTCTGTCAAAGGAACTGCCAACAACGCCACCGCGAAGACGTCTATTGGGGGTACGGCCGTCGCACAGGTGGTGATAATCTCCAACGTAGAAAAGGTAACCGAAAACCAGACGAACGGAAATCAATCGATGAAAAAACAAAACCACAAAAATCGAAAATTACTTATCAAACCTGTAAGCAGAAAATGTAGGGACGGATACATTATAACGTCTTCCGGAGATTGTAAACCAATATTTCAAGACGAATAAGATTGAAGCAGTCTCATTGCCAACGAGTTCCGGGCTTAGAATAATAATATACAGAATGCTTCGCAAAACATGCGCACCTGCACCTTTCTTACTTCAATAATGCACTTTTTTAAAATCTGGTTTTTAGAATTTTTCGATATACTTAAAACCTATATTTTCAAATTCTCGTGATTTTTTGTATTACTTAAGAATTTTCATGTGGAGATACAAACGGGAACCTAACTTTTCTTACTTAAATAATAATTTAGTGCATCATTTTTCTAAACATTTTGATGTATCGATTAAAATTTGAACGAGTAGTTTTCGTAATATTTAACTTTGTGTAGGTACTAAGGATAATAAGAATAATCTTCCAAGTATAATAAATATTGGATCTAATATTATATACATTTTATATTGCTATAAATACTAACCAAGTATTACAAACAAATTGAATAATTGGAAAAACTGGACTTTAAGTCAGTGCGGACACAATGGATTTCGGAACCAGGTGCAGAATTTGCCCCATATTTATTTTATTTTCTTACGAATTTTTATATAATTTTATAATCTTTAATTTCTTGTTAAAACTCTAAATTTGCAGTAATTATAAACTAATAATATCAAATTTGTATTTTTATATTAGACACAAAATGAGTGGGTACCAACCTATATACCTGCTTATGATACAGAAATATACAATATATTCAGTATAGTTTTTTTAAATAAATGCCTGTGAAAAAAATATTGCCTGTCGGCTATCAGTCTTGCTTTTAAATTTCAAATTTCAAATAATTTTAATAATTCTAACATAGAAAAAAAATTTGTAGTCCACGAAGAAATGTGAAATTTGGTTTAATGCAAAATAATATTAGTTTTTATAGATTATATAGTAAAATGATTACTTATTAGATGTATTTAATATGTTATATGTAATATTTTTAATTTCAGTATATATTTTCTACATTTACAATTAAATAAATGTGTTACGTGTTAAGACAATTATATTTTAAATAATAAATATTTGTATTAAATTTATTCATCAAAAAGATAATGGGTCTCACTAGACATGTTCGAGTGGGGTGCTATGAGTTCTCAGTTTTAAATATATATGCATTAAACAGTTATTACAATAAAAAACAACTACACAACATTTTTCTCACATTACTATATAATATCAATATAAATAAATACAAAATATTTTGTCTGTATGAACGTGCATCAATAAACATAATATTGTAATAAAATGCAAATCGTGTGTTGTTTTGTCTTGGATATTTTTAAACATAGGTATACGTATATTTCAATGATGCGTACATTTAATGGATTGCGAAAATGGTCAGACACTTCCTCTCTGGAATACAAGTTTAACAGTGGGGCGACGAACGTTTTAATGCAAGGTAAAATTAGTAAACCGCATACCAAGCTGGTAGGTTTAACAAGTCATATTTCGAAGCCAGTATCCGGCGTGCACCTGTAGAGCTCACGTTCATTGGGTGTCTTCTCGTATAGTATACTATAATTTAACTAGCACATTAAAGTTTTCCATTTAACATCTATATTAAATTCCCGTCCGTTACTAGACTGTTCATTATCGGGGTGTAATAAATACTTTATAGTTGCACGATGACGATTCGGTGTAATCGCGTGATTTCGGCCGCCATCTTCGTCGTTTTCGTCGTCACTTCGGTGAACTCGAAAAATGTCCGGCAGTTACCTGCAGTTACATCTATGAACACCACGACAACTGTCAAGGTATCCGAACCAGTCGACGACACCACAGCGATGAAGCCCATCAACGGAACGGCCAACAACTCCACAGCGACGTCGTCTGTTGAGGGGACGGCCGCCACACAGCCGGTGACAATCGCCAACCCAGGAACAGGAACCGAAACCCAGACGGACGAAAATGGATTGTTGGTCGATAAAAATGTCATCGTTCATCCAATACGCAAGCATGACGGTGGTACGTGTCCGAGAGGGTACAGTGTAACGTCGAACGGAAATTGTAAACCAACTTTTAATGGCAAATAAGATTGATTCAGTCTCTCCGCCTGCAACCGAGCTTAGAATAATATACAGGACGATTTGCCAAGTACGATGTGCTCCCCTTTTTTACTTAAATAGGTTAGTTATTAAAAATTGTGGTTTTTAGAATTTTCAAATAAACTCAAAGCCTATATTTATATATTTTTGAGATTTTTTTGTATTACTTAAGATTTGTCATGTACTAATGTGGAAACGAAAATTTCCGCTTTTCAAATGAGTACCTACAATTTCTAACGCAATTAATTTAGTGCATACTTTTCTAGACGTTTTGACATACTTAATTCAAAATTTGAATGGTCAGTTTTTGAGATATTTAACTTTGGTAGGTACTAAGGATAATAATATTATGATATGATAATGGGTTAGAGGACAGGGAGGCTATTGCGATTTAAACATTTTAGTGATTAATAAATATTAATCAGAAATCAAGATTAACCATTTGTAAAAAATGTTTAAAAATTAATAATTTTTAAACATGGAACAAGCATAATAAACATTAGATCTAATATTAAATAAATTTTTCAAAACCTTTTTGTAGGACAATTATTATACTTAGTACCTATAAACATTTCAATAAGTAAACATAATATAATTTTAACTCTTTCAAATTTTAAATTAGGAACATCAAATTTTTCAAAAATAATTTCTACCAAATAATTTAAATTAAATATGGGGATTTTCAATTGTGAACAGAAGTTTGTGTCACCACAGGATATCCTTTAGGAATAAAATCAGATTCAAGAATTTCAAAAACGGGGCTTTAAGCTTATTCAAAAATTTCAAAAATGAGAAATTGAATAAATTCATTATTAAAGGGAAAAATCGGGATGAGCATGGTTGGTAAATAACGCTGATTATATGGTTAAATTATTATTTATTAATTGTATTTAATATGTTATAAGTAATATTTTTCTTTGTTACATTATATATTTTGAAAGTATGAAATAAGTGTACAAGAACAAATAATACATAATGTCTGCAACAAGCATAATAGTTATACTTAATTTAAAACTTCTGAAAAATGTATTCACTGTTATGGTCTAATAAATATGGAGCGAATAGAAAATTATTATAAAGTTCAGTGATTTTTTGAATATATTTAAAAACCTGTTCATAGCCTTAGGTAAACATACCGGGGGAGTGGGATTTGGGCAGATTGGTTATTGATCTCGATACATGCAAATTACAGGTGTTTCGTTACTTGTGGTAAAAATGTCATATTATTAATATAATGATATGTTCTCTCGTATTCTATTTACAGTTTACACCCTACATCATATATTAACATTTAACAATTTATCTTACCTAATTTATTCAGTAAATACGTAAGTATCACCTGCGCAATGACTCGTCAAAGATATCGGTGGCAGAATAATCGTTGTTGTTGTTGTTGTAACTTGTAGGTACAAATAGTGAGCATCATACTTGTGATATTCATACTTGATGATGAAAAGCTACAAATTATAATTTCCAAATAAACTTGGGTGGATATTAGTCTCCATCATTGTTTTTCATCCCACTGTCGATGTACAAAAGTAGTCTCACTTTAATTAGTCTTAAAGCCTAATAATTAATAAATATATATATATGTATTTTTTAATTCGTTGTAAATACAATGTTTCATACATATTTATTTGTGTATTTTTAATTATAGTTAATCAAATAAAAGTTAAAATTGAGATCAATTCATATATTTGTGAATTTTTATTTAAGTATTGGTACACTTTTTATACCATGAAAGTCTCATTGGTGTACATTTCTAAACTTACAATAAAAAATGTGTTAAGGGCCTATTATTTAAAATAATATAAAAGACAAAAAATGTTTCCTGTGTCCTTTATGCATTCCTAAACCATTCATCCGATTGAGATGAAATTTGGTACTTAGATGGATGAGACATCGGGAAAGAAGATAAAAAGTTTTATTTTATCAAGAAAAAGGTAATTAAGAGATCCAACAGGGAGGTTCTCAAACAGTGATTTTGAGATTTAAATAAAATTGATTAAAACTAATTTTTTTTTTTATTTATAAATGGTTGCTATTGGTTTTAATAATAATAATTTTAAATTTTAATGCGATAAGGCTGTAGTGCAGTATATTAGTACAGAATGTATCAAGCACAAACTACGGTTTCAGTTTACCAATTTTTTGATGTTTATTATAGAGTAAGTTAAATTATACACTTACGTACGGACTAAGCACTACTCAGGGGCTGTGATCTACCACACGTATATTGCCTATCTGATAATATACAAACAAATCTTACGCAAAACGCCTGATTGGGATGGCTATAAATTAAAAAAAATATAACTTACACTTAAAAAGACGTTGCTTAAACAGGTGTTACACCCAAAAGGAGTTGAACAATCACAAAAACCTAACAATAGCAAAGAATTACCATGTCATTTTAAATAATAAATACTATAATTTAATTTCAATTTAATTTATTCTTCAAAAATATACAATGGGTCGGTCTAGATTTGTTTGTGGGGTTCTATGAGTTCATAATTTGAAATAAAAATGCATTAAATACCTAATACAATTAAATAACTACAAAACATTTTTCTCACATTACTATAAAATATCAATACAAATAAATACATAATATTTTGTCTGTATGAAAGTTCATCAATAAATAAATCAACTTAATATTATGACGAACATCGCATCTAATCTTATTTTTTCGTAGACGTTTTTAAATATAGGTATATTTCAATGATGCGTATATCGAATGGACTGCGAAAATGGTTAGATACCTTCTCTTTGGAATACACGTTTAACAGTGGTGTGAAGTACGTTTTAAGGTAAGATTAGTAGACCTCCTACCGAACTGGTAGGTTTAACTATATAGTCATAATTCGAAGCCAGTATGCGATGTGTCCCTAAAGCTTGCACGTTCATTGGGTGTCTACTTATAGTATACTACAATTTAACAGGCGCATTAAAGTTTTCCAATTAATACCTATTTTATTAAATATAAGCGTCCCGTCCGTAACTAGACTATTCATTATCGTGTGTAATTTTAGTTGCTCGATGAAAATTCGGTTTAATCACGTGATTTCGGTCGACGTTTTTGTCGTTACTTCGGCGAACTCGAATAATGTCTCGCCAAATCTGGCTGAAAATAATCAGTCGAGTCTGGCCACACCCAGTGCGAGTCTAACGAAATTAATTTTCCCGTATCTCATATTGAGGCCCCAGAAATGCCCACTACTGTCACCGCCGCAGAGACCACTTTGGTTACGTCTACGGCGAGTACCACTACGGTTACGTTTACGTCCATAGACACCACCTCGATGACATCTATCAAGGTATACCACCCCTACAACGGCCTATCAACGAAACGGCCAACGACACCACATCGACGTCATCTACTCAGGGAACGGCCTCGACATAGGAATGGCAGCCGAAACCCAGACGGATGAAAGTAGATTGTTGATGGATAGATATTATGTCATCCAACCTAAAAGAAACGACATTCACAGCGATATATTGTGTCCGAATGGATACTTTATGATGCGTAACGGAGATTGTAAACCACTGCAGGTTTAAGCAACTAAGATTAACAGTATCACTGCCAACGAGTTCTGAGCTTAGAATAATATACTGGGTGATTCGCCAAGCATGATCCCCCTATTGTTTACTTCTCAAAGTCCATATTTACAAATTCTCGAGATTGTTTTGTAATACTTAAGAAGTGGCATGTACAAATGTGGAGATACAAATTTCTGTTTTTCAAATGAGAACTACCTTTTTCTAACATAATTAGTTTAGTGCATAGTTTTTCTAAATATTTTTTTGTGCTTTAATGTGATAGAACATAGAATATAATATGGGGAATATTTCAGTTTAAATATTTTAATGATTAATACGTCTTATTAATCAGCTATAAGCATTAATAATTTGTATCCATGGTTCAAGTATAATAAACATTAGATCTAATATTAAATACATTTTAAATTAACCATTTTTTAGGGCAGCTATTATATGTCATTTCCACCAAATAACTTAAAGTGTAAAAGGAGGGTTTTCAATTGAAGTTTGTAGAAATTTGTACCACCATAGGACACTATTTAAGTATTATACGCAAATTCAAGAATTTGAAAACTGGGCTTTGAGTATATTTAATTATTGTTGTATACCTATTTGATTATATTGTACAATTATTACTTATTAACTGTATTTGATATATGTTATAAGTAATATTTTTCTTTGTTACATTATATTTGAATAGATGATAATGAAATAAGTGTACATTCGCTATACATGATCAAAAATATTGTCTGCCATAAGTAATTATTATAAATTATTTAAAACTTCTGAAAAATATATTCATTGTTGCGATTTTATGAATGTGGAGTGAATATAAAATTATTATAAAGTTCAATGATGTTTCGAATATATTTAGAACTTGTAGTTAGCCTTAGGTTTAATGACAGGAGGTAGTGGGAAGAGACACAAGGTTGGGCAGACTAGTTATTGGTATCTATAAATGCAAAATACAGGTGTTTCGTTACTTGTGGTGAAAAAAATATCTAATTATTATTATTTGAATATGTTCTCTCGTGTTTTATTTACAACCAACATCATATATTAACATTTTATCTTCCCTAATTTATTCAGTAAATACGTTTCGCATGCGTAATGACTTGTCAAAGATATCGATGTAAAAATAATCGTTGTTGTTGTTGTAGGTACATAATAATATAGCGATGGTGTTCACCACTTAATGTTGAAGAGCTTCAAATTTTGATTTCCAAATAAACTTGGGTGGATCCATCATTATTTTCCACTTTACTATCGATATACATTATACATAAACTGCAAAACATTTTCTCGCATGACTGTAACATATCAATATAAATAAACACATATTTTGTCTGTATGAATGGGTATCAATAAATAAATCAACATAATATTATAATAAAATACGAATTGAATGGATATTTTTAAATAGGTACTATAAGGTATATTTCAATTATACATTTAACAGACTGCCAAAACATTTAGATACTTCCTTATGGAAATACACATTTAACAGTGGGGCGATGTCCATTTTTAATGCAAGGTTAAAATTAGTAGATTTCATACCAATCTGGTAGGTATAACAAGTCATATTTCGAAGCCAGTATGTGATGGGCACCTGTAGAGTGCACGTTCATTGCGCTTCTTTGGACAGTATTCAATTATTTAACAGGCACATTAAAGTTTTCCAATTAATACCAAGTTTATTAAATATAAGTCCCGTCCGTTACTAGACTATTCGTTATCGTGTGTAATAAATACTTTAGTTACACGATGAAAATTTGGTTTAATCACGTGATTTCGGTCGCCGTCATCGTCGTTTTTGTTGTCACTTCGGCGAAAAATATCCCTCAGAATCCAGGAGCAAATAATCAGTCTGGTCCAGCCAAACCCAGTGCTAGAATGTTGTCTAATAAAATAAATTTTCCCGTATCTCATACTGAGGGCCCAGAAAAGTCCACGACCTTCACCACCTCAAAGCCCACTACAGTTACGTCTGCGGCGAGTACTACTACAGTTACGTCCATGAACATCGCAGCGACGACAACTATCAAGGTACCGGGTCCGGTCAACAACACCACCTCGACGACGTCTATCAAGGGAATGACCGGGATACAGACGGTGATAATCGCAAACGTACGAACGGAAAACAAAAACCAGACGGACGGTGAAGTATATTTGGACATTAAAAATCTCATCAATCCTCCAGGACTACAGGACCCTCCTATTAAGAATCAGTGTCCGAAGGGATATACTATAATGCCTAACGGAGATTGTAAGCCAAAGTTTGTAGATCAGTAGATCACTAAGGTTTTCGCGAGTTTCGGGCTTAGAATAATATACAGAATGATTCGCCAAGCATGTGCACCACCTTTTTTACATATTCAAAATCTGATTTTAGAATTTAGAATTTTTAAATGTTCTCAAGGCCCATATTTTAAAATTATTGAGATTTTTTGTATTTCTTAAGAAGTGCCATGAAGAGATATAAAAATTTCTGTTTTTCAAATTACAACTTTCCTTTTCTAATGTAAATAACTTTGCACAACATTTTTCTAAACATTTTGATATAATTGATTTGAATGAGTAGTTTTCGAGATATTTAACTTTGTATATTAAGTATAATAGGTACATAATTAGGTAATGGGTTTAGGAGATATTGGGGCCATGGTGATTTTAACATTTTAGTGATTGATATTAATCAGCTATCAACATTAACTACTTTTAAACATGGACTAAGTACAATAAACATTAAATCCAATCTTATATACATTTTACATTTTTGTAAGACTATTGTTTAGAACTATTACCTTGAGCATAAACATTTTAATAACAATATAATATAAGTTCAAAGCGTTCAAATTTTAAATTAGAGAAACATTAAATTTTTCAAAAATTATTAATACCAAATAATTTAAAGTAAAAAAGGAGGGTTTTCAATTGAAAAACTGAAGTTTGTGTCATTACTGTACACTCTTTAAGCAGTACAAACAAATTCAAGAATTTAAAAAACTGAGCTTTAAGTATATTTAAAAATTCCAAAATTCAGAATTTGAATACATTTATTAGGCATTAAAGGAAAAGTGTGATATTCATAATTGATGCCGGAAAGCTACAAATTATAATTTCCAAACAAACTTGGGTGGATATAGATCGCCATCATTGTTTTCTGTCCCACTGTTGATTTACAAAATCAGTTACGCTTTGATTAGTCTTGATGCTTAAAATGTATTTTTGTAATTCGTTTATAAATATTCAGTTGTGTATTTTTAAGAATAAGTTGAAATGTGTAAAATATTCATATTATTGAATATAATACAAAATATATTTTATAACTTTTATTTTAGTATTGGTAAATTTTTTATACCATGGAAATCCCATTGTAGTATATTAGTACATTTACATGTTAATGAATGTGTTATGTGTTACACTAGTATTGATAAAATTTTATTTTAAATAATAAATATTATTATATTTGTATTTAATTTATTCTTCAAGAAGATAGTAGGTCCCACTGAAAATGTTCGCGTAAGGTTCCGTGAGCTCACAATTTTAAATAAAAAATTAATTAAAATAGTTAATTCAACTAAACACCTATAAAATATGAATATCAATATGAATAAATCGATGGCATAGTGCACACATGTTGTAAGTGACATTTTTGTAATTGTTCAGGAAAACGACAATTGTAATTTCACATCACGCAGATTACATGCACTACAACAAACGCGTAGACCTCTAGCAGACTAAATATGTACTATACACTTACAACATTTGTACACAATATGTAGAAAGCTGTCAGCAATACAGCCATGCAAAAAACTCATTTATCTGAATTTTGCACTTACAACATGTGTGCACTATGCCATCGAAATACTTCTATAATCTAATGTAATATTACGCATAAAACCGTGTTATTAAATACAAAGCTTTTAAACTAAAATTCTCAATAATTATTACGATCATCATCTAGTTAATAAAATAAGTAATAGAATAATATAATCTCATACATTTGTGATAGGTATGTTTATATTTTGTTCTAATATAGTAGCCAAAGTGTATTTTTCTTAAATCTTGATTGAGTATTTATATTTAATTTTTAATGGTAATAGATTGTTAAGTTTTGGACCGATATTTAATTATGTGTATTGTGTTGATATTTTGTACATGGTTGGTGCGTACTTTGATATTAAATATTATATTATAAGCCGAATAAAATTCAAATTGAATAATTTCAAAACGTTTTGGTACATTTTTAAAGAAACTTATATTATTGTGGTACCGGCAACTATATACTATGTCATTAATTCAGGTAATTAATGTGTAATTTAGATATTTGTTCAAGGTAATTTTGGTAAATAGAGTAAATGTCGAATAATGTGAGTATGATTGACAATGTTATTAAAAAAAATTACTTTTACGTTTTGTACCAAATTATAATATTAAATATAATAAGTGTTGAAATCAAATTCATAAAAAAAAAAAAAAATAAATGTACATCTATTCTATAACATAATCTATAACATTTATATTATGCACTACAGTAAATAACTATGCGGTCACGGGAAATTATTGAAAAATAATCTAAGTATGATATTATGATATTGTGCGGCCGAGATAAACTGTTTTTCATTAATCCGAAAACGAATTGTCTGATTAAATCGCGGAATGTTTAAAATATTTATGACTTTTTTAATAATAATATTCAAGAAATTGCCCTAACTGTTCAAATGACGAATCTTACGTAGACCTCGTGAGTTAAAATGTTTTTGCCTATTACATAATATATCTTAACCAGAAAACAAAAAACAACGCCAGCACAACTTATCACAGGTCGGTCGCAATAAAGCGAATTTCGGTTTCGTCTGCTGAAAGTACCTACTTGAACTCGGGAAGGGTAGAACGAAAAAGTTATTCAATTTGTGAACTTTCCACCATATACTTCAAGTTTAGAAATTAATTAAAGGTTCGTTGTAATTTTTAAATCACGAGGGAGATTTCTTCTAAACCAATATATGAACAAGTAACAACGAACCGCTACAACTGCAGTGTGTACTGGGCCATTGGGGAATATTAATAATATGAGATATAATATTTTATGATTAAGTTAGAAACGAAATATTACGTAGTGATACTAGTGAAATAGGTAAATGGTACCGATAAAAGCAAAACATCAATATTAGTCTTTGGTGGAATAATTATAGGCACTAGGTAGGTAGGTATTTACATGAATTGCAATTTCCAATAGATAATATTAATATTATTTATTATATACCTACTCAGAAATAAATCAAAATCAGCATTGTAAATGTGTAAGGTATGTATTGACGTTTTGGTGATTCCTATATTCGTTTAGAATTTAACGAAATGTTTTAATTGAACTAATCAATTATTTAAGAAAAAAAAAAACAATATTTTTATAAAAGTAGTTAAAATAAAAACCATACTTTGTTTTAACTTTTAACACTTTTATCACTGATACTGTTGTTGGAATCTGTTGTTTAACTCAGTGCCCGTTTAACTACCGTCTGCTATAGAAAATGTATGGTATTATTATCAAGTTTTAATATTTACTAATTATTATTATTATTTGATAGTTGAAAGTTTGAAACTGCGAATTTTTAGTTATAAAGTTGTAAAAACATAGGTATGTTACGGTATTACATTAAACGTAAAATATTTAGATATTCCCCCAAAAATTTAATTTAAATTCAATTTATTTGTTGTTTATGAGAACACGAAAAATGTATGTTCCGGTAAGAAAAAATAGTGTTTGTCAGCATTTAGGAATCCAATTAGTTTAGTGTCAAAAATGAATTATGTTACAACCACAAAAAACATATTTAGTTGACATCAGCTGGTTTTAAATTGTTATGTCACTTTATTGGTCAGGTGGTTTTAAGAATAAATATGTGTACATTATTTGTAATTTATAGCATAATAATAATTAATGAAATGGCCTCAAGCATTTCTATAACCATGCCGGGAATTAATTTTTGCGAGAAATTCAGTTTTAGAAATACGGTTTGAGTTGGATGAAACTGTATATTTAAATTTTAATGAAAATAAAAAAATACAATAATTGCTTTTTATCAATATTGTTCTTTACAATTGGGATTTATTAAATTATTTTTTTTATCGTGGATTTTGTTGCAGTCAATTTTTTTTTGTTTTGGATTGATGAAAAACCATATAATTAATACCGATTTGGAAATGCCGGAGGACATTCTATATTAAATTTCCAGACTTACATGTATTAGGTACATACCACGAAACGCAATGTATATGGTGTGAATTAATTTATTGTTATACTGTCAAATGTCACAATGTGCAGTAATGCAATTTAATATTATGCTCTACGAAACATTATTAATCACGACTGTCAAATACGGTCTACGAGATCATAGAAACGAGTTGGATAATTTACTTAGTCTCAAACTCTGATCAAGTGATCATTAGATGTATTTGGAAAATTACAGTTGGCTGACATCAGACGTCGTTGTAATTTAATATCACTTTTCATATAAAATGTATAATTCAACTGTGAAGGTGCGTTTTTATTTATTTTTGGTTTTTTTCATCTTATAATATTATGATTTAATAATTTAACAGGGTGCATTTTTCGAACATTTTTACTGATGTAGTAATGTGGTTGAAAGTTTTTTTTCTTTAAAAAATAAAGAGGAGAATTATATAAAATATAGTTATGTAGTTATACATGGTACATTAACCGTTCAACCCAAATGCAATGTTTAGTCTTCTGGGTATACAAATAATACTGCTTATATTTTTATTATTTTTATTCTTCAAGAAGATAATGCGTCCCACTGAACATTTTCGTCAAATGAGATTCAAAATTTGAAATAAAAATGCATTAAATATAGTGGATAGGCACAATTAACTAATGATTATGATACGTTATACCTATAAAATATCAACACATTTTTTTTCTATATTTTTAAATAATGTATGAAGTATGAAGTCATGTGGTTAAACTGTATTTAACTAATGTAATAAGTACTTAATGCAATAATCTTATACATTTGTCTATATTTTGTTCTTGTAATTTATTGGTGTATTATTGAAGTCCAAATAATGAAAACTTTTTTGGTAAAAATCTGAAGTTTAAAAAATAATTATTCAACGAGATAATGAGAGTTGATGAATAGTCGTGTGACGTCATAGAGCCGACGAGTGAACAACCTCCCATGTCTTACGTGTAAAAGTAGTTTGATTTACACAATGATTTTAATAACTTACGATGGTATTTCAGAATTTTTTTTATCATATTCCTAAGTATA